ACTCAGCCCCTGGAGCATCTTTCCCTTGGCTCAGTGGATTTGTGATCCAGCTCCTCCAAAGCTGGCACTGCCAGAGGTCTCCCAGGTCTTCCTCCTTGCAAACAGGAACTCTCTTAGGGTTTCCAGGTTTGGGTGTTGGTTTTTGAGCTGGATTTTCCATCTCCCCAAATCCAACGGGCTTTTAGTTGAAGCATATAAAAAATAAACAGTAATTTTAAAAAGAGCTGTGGCTATTTCCATCCTCGGGCCCTCCCCTGAGCTCCTGGGCACACCCCTCCCTCCGTGGATGCACTGAGTGTTCTCATGCACAGGGGCCCCTTTGTTCAGGGATCAGAACCAAGGCAGAAGGGCTGGATGAGCTGGGAGCTCCAGGAATGCACCTTTCCCTGCCTGGCACAGAGTCCCTGAACTGGCTGAGACCTCCAGCAGTTCCCCTGTGTGCAGGGGCACCCCCAGAGCCCCTTCCCTTCAGGCTGCTCCCGGGAAGACAGATGTTACAGATGTTTTAGCTCCTAGGATGTGTGTGCATGACACAGTTTGTTCCTTACCTTGTGAGCTGCAGTGTGAGCAGGGAGATGTTCAGTTTGTCCTGCTGAGTGCTGAGAGACCCCTGCAGAAACACCAGGGGTCTGAAGCTCTAAAGGATTCCTGTGGGAATCCAGGGCTTCCCTCTGGCTGCCCTGGCAGGTCTGGGACCCTGGCAGGGGTCAGAACCCCCTGGACAGAGCCCCCAGAGACACTGGCTGTGATCTCTGTCCATGGAAAAGAGTTTTCAATCTTACAGGATGAATTACCAGCTCTGAGTGTTTGATATGAGTAATAATTAAGTGTGGCACGGGTGCAAAAGTAAAATTTTAGGATTCTAGATTAGGGGTCCAAAGGGGACAAGATGGAGGAAATTGGGTGTCTCTTTTCTTTTTCCTCCTTCTTCATGCCCTCCATGTTTCACTGTGGTGTTGGCATTTTTCTGTTGGTTCAGGCTGGGGACACACTGTTCAACGTAGGTGACAGATATTGGCACGTTATTGTAAATCCAGCACAGGGAGTTTGTGGTATTTAATGTTTGTACCATCCCACTGAGGGCAGAGCCCCACACGCTGCCCTGCAGGACAGAGCTGCGGCAGGGCAGCAGAACATGTTAGAGATAAACAGAATAAACAACCTTGAAACCAGCACAGACCAATTATGGCTTCTGCTTTGGCAGTGGGGCTGAAAGACAGAGACTTTCTACAATCTCTGAATCATCAATAGCACAGATTCTGACATTCAATACCTGGAGGAGGGAAGGACTCTGCTGGTGGGCACAGGCACCTCAGCTTGTGATTCCAGCCCCTGGAATCCCCCTGCCACACAGACAGGCTCCTCACTGCCAGGCTGAGCTTTCCAAGGGGCTGGGATGTGACCCCTGGGTCCTGTTTCTCCCTGAGGAGATCCTCCGTGAGCTGGAGCTCCTCACTGTGATGACTGCAGCAGTCACACTGGCTCCCTCCCTGCTTCTTTGCCCTCAGATCTCACTGATGGTTGTGGGAAATATTTTTTTCCATTCAAGAAAAAGAGGGAAATGTGGGAAAAGAATTTGTAGAGAATTCTGAAAGCCTGATAGAAGGCTCACATAGTATGCATCTGTATACAAACCTCGAGATAAAAAATACTAACTTAGAAATACCATGGAATAAGACAGACATTATTAAGAGAGAAATAGAACTAGAAACAAGTTCCAAAAAATAACCTTATAAATAAAACTAGACACTTTAGAGAAACAGAACTATAAAAGATACACTGCAGTAAGACCCATGAAGAGTAATTTTACATTATTAGCTTTAAGACATTTACAGTATCGTGTAACAAAACCTGATAGACCAAGGAATGCTTATAATGTATTATAATTAAGAAAAAATTAGCTTCTGATTATAACAGCATAAATTATAACATTTGTATTGTCTTGCCCTCCACATAAGACTGAAAATAAAATAAAAGTTTTTAAAACACCTCTCAGTTACCCCAGCTCTAAGTAAAAAAAAACCTTAATCTAACAATGGTAGCCAGATGCACCAGGTCTTCCTGTGGCTGAGAATTCTCCAGGCCTCAAAACCCACCTTTTTTAAATATCATACTTCATTCCTGCCTTCCCTCCGTTATCAGTTTCTCAAGTTTTACAATCCAAGGCTGTAAAATTCCACTTCTCAGAGTTATTTATCCCCCCTGACACGCTGCCAGTGCTGGATCCACATTTCCCCCTCTGCTGTGCAGTCACTCAGGCACCATGCACAGAGATTTGAAAAGCAGACAAGCCGCTCCTTGTGGAGCAGGGAAGGACAAGGGGATCCTGTCAGACTAAGCCTTTTTCTGACTCAGAGATGGGGCAACTGAGAGGTGTTTTAAAAGCTTGTATTCCATTTCTAGCCTCATGTGAAGGGTGAGACAATACAGGTGTTATAACTCATGCCATCACAATCAGAAGCCAACTATTTCCTAATTAAAATACACTGTGAGTGTTTCTTGGCCTATTACATGGCCTAGGTTTCTTTGGAAGGCTATCTAAGGCTAGCAGGGAAGGGCAGGGGGATACCAGCAGCCACGAGCAGGAAGGGCTGGAACACAGCAGAGCACGGGGAGCTGAACCTGTCCCTGCAGCTCCTCTGTCCCCACAGCCCCCAGGCCCCTGAGACACCAAGCAGTTGTGAGAAATCAGCTGACAGAGGAAATTTGGCTGGGTTTGTAACTGCACCTTCTCTTTGCCAGGCTCCAGGCAGATCCCAGCTGCTCTCCCAAAGGGATTCTCCAGAGAGGAGAGGCAGAGAAGAGTGGGACATCCTCAGAAATAAACCCTGCATTAACACAGACACCAAAAGGGCCAAGCTGACACCAGCTCTCGCTTCTATGACTGACCCAAGAATTTCACAGCACCAAGAAATCCAGCAGAGCATTCCCTGACTAAAAATAGGCCCAGCTAATTAACAAACCTCGTTAAAAGGGACACCCAGCAGCAGCATAACCTCTGCACTGGTTACAAAGGGATGATCAATATTGACTGTCTCAAGAGCAGCAGCAAATCCTTCAGATGGCTTCAACGTGAGCAATGCTCAGCTGTGAGACTCAAAGAACCTCCTCTGCTTCCTGCCCTGGGCTTCTTTCACAACCATTTAATGCCATGTGTTGTTAGAGAGCTCAGCCCTTCCTAACCACTGTAATAAACACATATCAATCTCTTTCAAATTTAATAAATAGAGCCCCTAAAAGCTTTGCCTGGGTCTGCTTTTCCCATTCAATTAATAGAACACAACACCAAAGGGATGAATTATTGAGGAGAAACATGAGCCTGGGCTTTCACAAACGCTCCACTCCAATGGCAATTTATTACAAATTAATAGTGTGCTGCACTTCCTCCTGTTTCCTGGCAGCTGGGAATTGGTCAGGCTACACCAGGAAACTTGGGAGCTGCCATGGAACACTGCAGTGCTGAGCTCAAATCATCCTGGAGTGCTTTGGGTGGGAAGGGAGCTCCAAGTGTCTGGACAGCACTGTCAGGGGTGCTCAGGGTGGGATTGTTGGGGGGTCTGTGCAGGGCCAGGAGTGGGACTGGATGATCCCCTCAGTCCTTTCCAGCTCAGGATATTCTGCACTTCCAGGATTCTAAGAGGACCCCAAGGTCTGGAGAGTCCCAATCCCACAATCACCTTTTCTGCAGCTGCATTTTTGCAGCATTTGGGCACCCCTCACTCCATTTTGGGTAACTTTTGAATCCCATTCCAACTCCAACACCTTCCACTGTGCCAGGCTGCTCCAAGCTCTGTCCAACCTGGCCTTGGACACTGCCAGAGATCCATGGGCAGCCACAGCTCCTCTGGGTAACCTGTGCCAGGACCTCAGCACCCTGACAGTAAATAAATAACTAAAGTGGGGGTGGAACAGGGGAGAAGGAGGAGGGATGCACAACTGACAGAAGGACGGGAGAAACCTTTGCTTTGAGGGGTTTTTACTCCTGGGACAGCTCAGTTTGTATGGGAAGGATGGCTCTTTCCCATCCTTGCAGCACACTCCATGGGCAGGGCTGGAATCCCAGATAAGCATCTCTGAGCAGAGCTGACTATTGTGCAAGGATAATAATTCACATTTGCACATTCAGAACTGCAGCTGCTCAGAAGGGAGATACCCAAATTTCTCACACCCTGCCCATAACAACGTGCCTGGCCCAAAATGACCCTCTGACACTCTGAGAGAAATCCCAAACTGAAAAAACAACTGAAAAAAACCACCTTTTCTGCAGCAAATTGGTTCAAAATGCAACCAGCCAGAAAGATACTTCACATTTCACCAAGCTACTGCTCTGGAAGCACTTGCAGGAAGCCCTCAGGAGCCACATGGGGATTGGCACTGGCCTGTTGGAAAATCATCCTGACTCCAGGCAGAGAGTTCAAAGTTCTGGTTTCATGTGCTGCTTGCTAAAAACCATCTGAGCATGTTGATCCTCCAAACACTTGGAGTGAAGGTTATAAATGCATTGTAAAATCATCAATAAATTGGTAAAGGCGTGGTAATTTCCATTCCAGTGGAAGGTGCCCTGCCCATGGCAGGGGTGGTATGAGATGAGTGTTAAGGCCCTTCCAACCCAAACCATTCCAGGACTCCATGCTCAGTGCCAGTGTTTGGAAGATGTCACAGACAGCAGCTCCAGCAGCATGGCAACCACTCCACCAGAGCAAGAACCCCCAAAAACACAGGCGAGAGACACCACCAGTGATGTTTCTTTGTAGGAAGGAACTTTCTTGATCAACAACAAAACATGGAACCACCACCATGACTGCTGTACCACCTTTTTCAACCCCTGTTAAATGTCCCCAACCTCTCCTTTTTCCCCTCCACCCAGCACAGAGCAGGAACTCTCAGAAAACCAAACCCAGATGGTTTTCCCCAAGCTCTTTGAACAATCTTCTCAGCTCAACCGTGGTGTTAAATTTGGCCTGTTCCCATCCTCACTCAGAGCACAGCAGGAAACTCACCTCCATTTTTGATGGCTCTGATGCCCCGATGGAAATCTTCGAAGCTGATAACTCCCAATCCACTGGGATCCAGGTATTTTGTTAGGTCCTTTACCTGCAACCAAAAAAAGCAGAGTTCTCTATGGAATCCTTGCAGGAAACAGCAGCTTCCAGCACAGAAACACCTTGCAACCAACTTTTTCCTCTTTAGCAGAAAGACTTCAGAAAATAACTATGAATTTCTTAAGCTGACTCCAAACTGTGTCTGTTCCCCTTGAAGAGAATATAAGTAATCAGTACAAAGGGGGTAATTAGAACTTGGTTGGTGTTGAAACTATTGCTCAGCCTTGAAGCAGCACTTTGGGCAGTGTCTCCTGCAACATGGGCCTGCTTTGCCAGGGATGTGTTTATTTTTATGGGTTTTAAAGAGGTCCTGCCTTAATTGGGAAACTCTGTAATAGGCTGCCTGGTAGGAGGGCCCAATTAAGGGGATTCAGTGATAATGAACTGCTCCATGTTACAAATTTAGGCCGTATAATTGAAACATTTTCCCAATTAGACAATGCCTGAGGGGGAGGGAATCACGTCAGCTGGCCAGGGTTGGGATGGGGGTGCTGCAGCAAGGGGCACTCTGAGACCTGCTGAGGATGGTCTGGGACCTTCAAAGACAATGAGAAAAGGGCAAAACCACAGGGCCCAAAGTGTCTCAAAAAGGTGCATTTGGTTCCTTCCTTCCAGCCTGCCACAAGCAAAAAATCCTTTACACCAGCTGCTTCTCAAGCTCAGACAACCAGACATTTATCTCTCATTTGAAGAGCTTTTGAGGCACCTTTGTCTATTTTTGCAGCACATCCTTCAGCTGAGGAACAATCCCAGCAGAAAGCTGGTGAGGTGAGAGAGGTGAGAGAGGTGAGCCCCATACTCTAGAGCTGCCCACAGTGCTGCCCTCACCTGCCACACACATCCTCCTCCTCCTCCTCCTCCTCCTGATGCACAGGAGGGAGTCTCCAGGGCTGCATCTGTGCATCTCTCCTGAGCACAACCTTTTGACTCACTGGGGTTTCAGTTTGTTGTTCAGAAGGAGCTGGTGAATCACCAAACCTCTCCTTTCACAAAGGTCTCAGAGGACACTCAGCCCCCCACCCATGGAGCTCAGAGCTGCCCTGCTCACCCTGCAGCAGCACTGCGGGGTTGCTTTGAGGTCTTTTTGGTTTTCTGAAAGGAAAATTGCATCTACAGCACACTTAAGAGCTGCTCACTCATGTGTCCATGTGCTTTGGTCATCCCACATTCCCACAGGAGCAGCAAAAATTCCACTGGCATGGAGGAACCCACAGGGCTGAGACCATAAAACCCTGGGATCACAGAATATCCTGAGTGGGAAGGGTCCCACAGGGATCCTCCAGGAGAGACCCCCCAACAATCCCACCCTGTGCATCCCTGAGAGCATTGTCCAAATCCTCCTGGAGCTCTGGCAGCCTTGGGGACGGGCAGTGCCCAGCACCTTCTGGGGGAAGAACCTCTCCCAAAAAACAGCCTGACCCTGCCACAGCCCAGCTCCAGCCCTTCCCTGGGTCCTGACACTGAATTTCAGGCTGTGCCTCTGTGGCACTGCCAGGAGAGGAAACCCAAATCCCCCAGGGCACAGCCATGCCAGATGACTCCAGCTCCAGCTGTACATCAGGAGGAATTTCTTCCCAGAAGGGGCTGCCCAGAGAGGTTTGGAGTCCCCATTCCTGCAGGTGTCCAAGGAAAGCCTGGAAGTGGCACTCGGGGCTCTGGGCTGGTGGCAAGGCAGGGATCAGTCACAGGATGGACTCAGAGCTCTTCCCAAGCTAACCTGAGATTCTGTGAATGGAAGAAGACAACACAAACACCTTCTCCAGTTTTCCAGAGTACTTTTTTTTGGCAGACAGACCTCCTAAACTCACATGGCATTCATCATCTTGGGTGAGTCAGGTTTCTTGTACGTTAAACAAAGGTATTTTAGACTAATAAAAACAACTCGTAGGAATGTGTCGGTTCCAGTTAATGCATCTGGCAGCTGCCTGGATTAAACCGTCACTTAATTTGTTATCTGTGCACAGAGATAACAGAAAGGCAAGTGACATTTAATCAGACTTGATAAGACTATAAGGGATTAGCATGACGCACTCTAAATTACAGTTTCTGTGGTTTTCAGCTCCTCGGGATCACGGAGGGCTTCAGACCCTGGTGCCAATGCCACAGCAGGGCACCTCACCCACCCAGAGCTCAGGCAGGACAGACAGGGAAGTATCTGCTTGATGCAAAAGAGAAAAAATAAAAATCTATTTAAATGGGGCTGTGGGCAGGGGGAAATGGTTCTGAAAACTTCCCAACCTGGACATTGTGGATGCAAACAACAAAAGGCACACGGTGAAGAAGCTGGATGAGTCTGTGCTGATCCAAACCTGCCTGTATTTGCTGGCCAGGCTTAAAATCACCATTACCAGTTGAGACTCCACCACCAGGCTGAGGTGAGTGCCTGCTGACACTCCAAAGAACCAACACTACAGGAAACAAGAATATTTGTTGTGCCTGCCTGGTCCCCACAGCTCCTCTCACCAAATATCACCAGCAATGGAGCTGGAGCCCCTCTGCTCTGGGTCAGGCTGGGAGAGCTGGGGGTGCTCACCTGGAGAGGAGAAGCTCCAGGGAGAGCTCAGAGCCCCTTCCAGGACCTAAAGGGGCTCCAGGAGAGCTGGAGAGGGACTGGGGACAAGGCATGGAGGGACAGGACACAGGGAATGGCTCCCACTGCCAGAGGGCAGGGATGGATGGGATATTGGGAAGGAATTGTTCCCTGGGAGGGTGGGCAGCCCTGGCACAGGTGCCCAGAGCAGCTGTGGCTGCCCCTGGATCCCTGGCAGTGCCCAAGGCCAGGCTGGATGGGGCTTGGAGCAGCCTGGGATTGTTTTCTTCATTTCTTCATTTTGATGACTGGGCTAAAGCCAGGACCTTACCAGGGCAGCTGTGAAAACCACCAGCACTGTGGTGCTTTAGATCCATGCAGTAAATGTGAGCAGTTCTGAGCTCACAGATTTGAGGGTTTCAGCTGAAGCTCCCACCACACTCCTACTGGCACAACACCAAACAGCAACACTCCACCAAAAACACCGAGCTCAGCCCACCAGGCAGAAGCCACAGTCCTACTTTTGGCCAGCAAGAAACACTTGAAATAAAGGTTTTGCTTCCTGTGTGTGTCTGTGGCTGGTTACAAACCCTCCCTGGAGCCCGAGCAGCTGAAACCCAGAGCATTAAAGAGGGAAAGAGGATGAGGAGGTTTAAGTAGCTGACTTAAATCCTGCTGGAAAGTGAGAGGTTTAAACTGCTTGAAGCCAGCCAGGCTGCCTGGAGCTGAGCACAGACACACAGCAGGAGCACAGCTGGGGGTGGCATGTGCCAGGGGGGCTCTGGTCACCCCTGGCCCAGCCCAAGGGATTCCTCCTGGAAAATGACATGGAGCAGATGGGGACAAGGAGGGGAGGTCACCTGGCACCTCAACAACACAACAAGGACTCCTGGCAGCATCCCCACTCCCCCATCCCCAGGATCCTCTGCACCCCCCAGGCTGCTTCACCTCCCAAATCCAAGGATTTTGCTGCAGAAGCCCTCAGAGCCCAGCCTGCAATGCCATGAGGCCCCTCACAGCACAAAGAGAGTTTCCTTGCTTTGATGCACTGAACTCAGCTCAGCAAATGACCCCAACAGTGACAACTCCACATTCCAATCCACACACAAAGGCTTGGCAGTGGAAGTTTCCCACGGAGGTGAAGGATTCCCCAGCTGTGAATTCCCTGTTTAGAAAAGGAAAAGGAAGCTCTGGGCCTCTCCTCTTTATCCTTATGGATGCTCCATGTCTCCTCCACACAGCAGATGGATCCAGCAGGACAGAATAGCCACTGTGCTTGTTTTAGGTGTGATCCCTGGGGGAATTCAGGGCTGTGCTGGGCAGCCAACACCCCCTGCAACCCCTGAGCCTGCCAGCAGCTTTCCCTCATATCCTGGCAGAGCTCAGGGCTGAACCAGATCCCAAAAAGACATTCTTTGGAGGATGAAGGGGAGGTGGGAGATTTTTAGTGGCCACAGCAGCCAGGCACCCCCCAAGAAGAGCTGGTGGAGCTCAGAGCATCAAATCATGGGGTGTCTCACAGGGATGGTGCTTCCATGTGCTGCCCTGGAATAAAATCAGCTCTCAGGGCTGCTTTAATCTGCACAGAGTCTGGAAGCAAATTAAAGGAGACAAAGAGGAAGAATGAATACTGACAGATTCCTGATAAAGACCCCCAAATACCCAAGCAAATGTGGAGGGAAAATGAAAAGGAAAAGAGGAAAAGGTCCTGGTGTCCTGCTTGGCTGAGACAGGACATAAAAATCCAAGTACTTCTCATGTAACTTTAATTACTCTCCTCTGACTGCCAGAAGCCCAGATCTGCTCTGAACATCCTGTATCTTTGGGGGGAACAGCATTGTGAGACAATCCCTGAAGTCAAGCAGAGAGAAGGACGAGCACCAGACTGGCAGAAGTGCCAAACTGAGGGATTTTTGGCACTAAAAAGGAGGGAGGGCTCACAGGAGCTGCTCTCCTCTCTGCTTAGCCAGGTGTGTGGCCTGGAGTGGCCCACAGGAATTCACCTGAGTGAGAAGATGCTGTATAAATCCTCTCATGGTTACACAAAGGTGGATGCAGCACCTCCACCCTCCGTGTTCAGCACAAGGGGGTGAGCCAAAGCACTCATTTGTCCCTAAAAACCCAGCTGGCCTCTCCGAGCCAAACCAATCCTTTCCCAGATAAATGTGTAATATTTTTAAATGCTGATGACAGAAGTCAGAATATCCTTTTTTCACCTTTGGGAAACGTGCTGGAACTGTTGAGGCTCCTGCAGCCAGACCAAAGGGGCCGTGCCAAAGACCCAGCTGTCCCCACAGAGCTCTCTTTGGATCCCACTAAACCCACGGGCTGCAGTGGGATCAGCTGAAATGCACTGATCCCTGCTAAGGCAGCATTTCTCTGGTGTCAGAGCACATCCATCCCCCCGTGCTGGGGGCTGAGGGAGCATCAGCAGCCTGACAGGGTGAGCACACACTGCTTCC